TTTGGGGATGTGAGTTAGAAGACACTGAACAGCACATAGCGCTTCTTCACCCCCCCCCCGCTTTTCTTCCCGTTTTATGATCTTAAGGAACAGATTAGGATCTCAGATCCTCCAATTTTTCCATACTGGAAAATTCCATGCTGGGACAAGATAGATTATGACATTATTTGATTAAATAAAGGCTTCCGTGTAAAATAAATGATCTATCTTCAGATTTTTGTCTGAAGATTTTTGGAAAAACAGTAATTCTTGTCATGAAGTTTGTGTCTTCAGCAGACTGTTGGGAGCTTATGGAGAAGATGGAGTCTGACTCTTGTTGGAGGTGCATAGTGAAAGGGTGAGGGGGAGCACACACAAGATGTAGTATTGGAAGTGCTGATTGGATATTAGAGATTTTTTTTTCATGCAGTATGTTGTTACACGTTGGAATAGGTTGCCTGGAGAGGCTGTTGAGTATCTGTCCTTACAGATTCTCAAAGCTTGGCTGGCTGTCATCCCAACCAACCTGGTCAAAAAGATGGCTTCAGCTTTGAAGTTGGCTGTACTTCGAGCAAGATTGGACCAGATAGCCCACCTCCAGGTGTCCATTACAACCGTAATTAGTATATGATCTCTGCAGTTCAAACTTCTAAGTAACAGGATTTGAGAATTCACATAGGTATTAACTTGATTTTCTTTGTTTTCCCTTGTTAACATGGGGAAGAAAGTCCTTCTTTGTATGAAGCTTAAAAGGCGTCTAGCTAACAAAACGATGGTTAGAAAAAATAAAGTTCTGTGTGGAATTGCACTTATAAGGTCGCCACATAGAGCATTTTTGGATATATGTTTTTGATCTCTCTTGGACTTAGAAGTCTTCTATTACCATTTTCTTAGGGCTTTGGGAAGAAACTGGGGAACTTAAACAGCATTTTCTATTCTGTCAATTTTATAGGACTTCATACAAACTGACTTTTGGAGTAAGACTAACCATGTGGTGGAGACATGTAGCAAGCTCCTAACATTTAAATTTGTCTCATACTGATAAGGACCTTAAGTAGTAAATACTCTTGGTGGATTTAAATAGTAAGCTTGGATAAAGTCATGTTAGATTAAAGTGAACAATTATCTCTTGAGCTTTGTATTACTAAACTTAGAAACAGGCAGTCTACTAATTCTATTGATTATTAGTTTAAAGTAATTCTGTAACGAGCTTTGCTTGGGAGTAGTACTGTGGTACAGATGTTTGTGTGAATAAAGCTTTGAAGGTCACATAACTGTACCTTTCAAGCTTTTAAAAACAATATTCAAGTAAAAGTTTGTGTTCCTTTTAGAAATAACACTGATGCTAGTAATATGAATTCCAACCTTTTTAGAGTTAATTTTTTTCTCCATTGCTATTATATTACTTGCCTTTCTGGCTTTTTTTTTTTGCCAGGGTGAAGGGAACTGTAAGTTGTTTTGCCCTATTCATTGGGAAGGAAGGACAAAAATCCCTGTGTTTTTGTTTTGGTTTTGGTTTTCCTTGTAAATTGTGTTTGTAAGTAAATCTTTATCTGTCCATCCGCAAACATTAATTATTCCTATATGAATAATGAAAGTTAAGGGAACACAGACCTACTCAATACAGCTGGCTTTATTTTTAGAGGGCTTCTCAGTGCTTTGCTTTGTGGATTTAGAATTAAGGTTAAGCTTATCCAACTTCTATTATGCAGTTTTGTCCTGCCTTTTGGAGTTGAATATACCTGCAATATGTGTTTGGGTAATCATGATAGTATACTCAACAGCAGTAGTTTTGGATTTCCTAGGTAGTAGTGGAGTTGTCTTTGTTTATGAATGTCCGTGATACCCAAAAAAAGGTCCCTTTCTTAAGGAAGAGCCTAGTGCCACTCATAAGCTGCTGTTTGCAATAGCCAAACTTTTCTTGGTTAGTCTACTGTATTGCCACCGCCGTGCTTGCTCCGAAAAACAAAACAAAAAAATTTAGAGGCTCTCATTCAACATTAAGTTTTTTCTTGAAGTTATTCTGGTAGAATTACATTGGATTGTGATGCGTTTTACTCAGTAATTGCTGAAAATCACCTTGCTTGTCAGTATTTCACATTAGTCCCAAAATAAAGTTGCAGGCGTAGCAGTCTGATCACTTTGCGTATACGGAAGTGATTTGGGGAAGGTAGCCTTGTTTTTTACATTTGCCTGCAAGACAGTGTCTACATGAGGAAATAGTCATTCACACAGTAGTCGCTTCTGGGCAGCGTGGGCCGAAGGGTAGGATAACCTGTTGCTAGCCTGTTCCCCTGTCCTTGTGATACCCTGACCCGTTGGGGTAGTGAGAAGGCACTGCCTTTAAAGTTGCCTTCTGGAGTAGAAAGTAATACCGAGTGTTGTAGGTCGTGGGCTGGCTGCCTGGGTTGAGGACTAAGTTGGCAGTACCTACTCGGTGTGCCTTGAGGCAGCTATGAGGCACGTGGACATTGCGATAGCTGAGAGGGCAGTGCATTTTGGGTAGGAAAGCAATTTGCTATGGTCGCAAGTTGTTTAAAAACGCCTTCGGTTTGTTGCTTATTTCAGCTCGGTTTTCCCTAGATTTACCTGTCCCTTTGCAATGTATCTGCTCTCCTCCAAACTTTTCTGTTGAAAAAAAATTTCAGTCAGACTGCAGTTTTGTAATAGGAGAGAGTTTTCTCGTTTCCTTGTTCCATCTCTCCTCCATGCAGCAACGTGGTCTTTGACTATGGAAATGATCACACTATTACAAATGCTAATTTTTGCAGTAGCAGGGTGAATTGTTTAAGATGGAGGCTCTTGAAAAAATTGTATGGGATTTTTGTTTGTTCTTTAGTACAGAAAGCAATGTGGGATTTTTGTCTTAATTTATGGGAACAGCAAGAGACCAAAATGTGGAAGTCCTCCTAATTTTTCAGGAAGTAAAATCTTGAACAATTTCAGATTCCTGAAATTCTCTAGAAAGTAATCACCTGCAAGTTTTTTCTTGTGCGATGATCAGAACACATGCTTAAAACAGTCTTACTAAGAATGTTAGAACAAGCTGATAATATAAAATGCTCTATTACTAGAAATATGTTTGAGTTTCTCTTAGGAAAAAATAGTTCCTGCAAAAAATTAAACACTTTGGCAACGAATAAAACTGTTGAACTATATAGATAAAACTATAGTTTAATACTTCCTAATTGAATATATAAAATAAAACAAAAATCCTAACAGGGATGATAGTGGCGTTTGCAGTGAGTGGGGTGTGGTGAGTAGTGCAGCTATTTTTGAACCTAGTAATTTCGCTTTCCCTATACACAAGATTATTGTATCACGATGGTATCAATAACGTGACCATTGTTAATGGTGCCACCTAGTCATATTATACATTGAGCATGTTGATTTACGTTTAGGTGTCACATTTGCATTAATTTCTCCGGGAATTGCATTGTGCATATTAGTTGTGGAGGGTGAAGGTCAGGCTGACCGGCAGGGGCTGAGTGTTCTTGCTGGAAGAAGCTTGCAACAGAAAAGTCTCTCCCTATAGATAGGACTGATGAATGCTTCAACAAATTAATCTGTTTTCCACTTTTACATGGAAACAAATAGCTTTTAATATGCTTAATTTCAGGTTTGGTCATAGTGCCAATCAGTCTACTCTAATTAAAACTAGTGTTGGAAGTCTGTCAAGAGTCAGGTCTTGTAATTCAAAAAGGAATCTTGACCAAATTAATTAAACATTGAAGCTACTCATGCATTATTACTGATTTTTGCTTAGTCTTTTTACTCATGTAAAAATACTGTAAAAATACTGCTTTATATAAAGGTTTTGTGTATCTTTTTGGGCTTAGAGATGCTTTTCTTGGAAAACAAGTTTGACATACTACCATTTTTTTTAAATTTAAAGCTCTGTAATCGCCAGAATTTTTCAATATCCTTAATCTAGTATGTGTGTGTGCATGCGCGCTACACACATATATACGTGCATGTATGTGTACAGTCACAACTCTTAGGGCTTGGTCGTCTTCTATAAATTTGCTGAATTTGCATCTCTGCAAAAGTGGAAAACCACTTCCTTTTCCTTTTGTTAATGTCAGTCTTCTGTAATAACTCTTCTACAGTATGAAACAAAGTATTTAGTGTTAACCTCTAGGCTTATAGTTAATGTGTCTCTTCCTGAGATTGTTTGTTTAAAAAGGAATTGGAAAGGTTATTGTATATGCTAACTCCATTACAGGAGACATGGTAGTAATATGTTCATAACAGTCTGTTGATTGATTTCTTTTGCCAAGTTGTTGATGCTAGTATTGCCTTAATGTGAAAAGCCAAAGGAAAAACAAGATGTTGAAAGTACATGATTTTAAGAGCAGTATGTATTACTTTGAGGATGCACTACCTAAATTTATTAAAAAATTCTAGAATAGACACCCCCCACCCCCCTGTGGTTATTTGATGTTTTGGCATACATTTCCAAATATTTATACTCCTAAACTGATGCTAAATTAGTGATACAGTTGAACATCAGGTTCACCTAGATGTGTCACATGCTACTTGAAGCAGTTCATCCAAGCAGAGAAAACTCCTTGCAGACTCTAAATGATGGGGAATTTCTTAATGAAGTTCATAAACTGAACTAGGAAATTACATCTTGCCATTGTAATGACTATCCTGATATGAATCCCTGCAAACAAGAGGAGTATCATTTAATTTCTCTGCCTTGCCCTGGTGTTCATCAAGTAGTTTCTTTCAGTGTTACAGGTCATGCTTGTGTCTCTATATTACTTGTTTCACAACTGAGTTCTTAAATGGGGCCATATTCTTACTCAGTTTATCAGGGAAATGAGTATAGCACTAGTTCCTTGACACCGGGAAAGGACAGAAAGGAAATTGTAGTATTTGTTCACTAAATGTAGTTTTGCTAAGTGCTTTGGGGTTTCTTTTTGTCAAACTCCTTGTCTTTTTGACTAAGACACTAAATTTGGGCAGGAGGTCGTTTTTTGTTTAATTGTTTCCTTTTAAACTTTCTTGAAAAGGCCACAGAGCTGTGTATATTGGAGTTCACGTCCCATTTGGAAAACAAGGCCGTCGACGGCATAGACATCGTGGGCACAGGCATCACAGAAGAAAAAAAGAAAAAGAGACTGACAGGGAGGATGGCCGAGAATCTCCATCATATGGTAAGAAATCTGTTGTGCGAGCTCTTTGTGTATCTTGAAAATAAACTTATAGTAGCTACCCTGTGCATAAACATTGTTTTGTGCTGTTTCTTTTATTCTCACTGTAATTAATGTCTTTCTACGTACCATCAGGCAAGGATTTTGTTGTGTTTTATCTAAATCATAAGCTGCTGGAATTCATCCAGGTGTCTGTGTGAATGTTGAGCAGCCTGCACTGATTAGGTTAGACTGGAGCTTCGTAATACTCACCTGTAGCATAACAATCTGTTATTTAAATTAGACACCTTTTTTTCAGATTGTGTAGTCTTGTAGTACTCTTCCTCTGTCACTCAAGATTTTTGAAAGTATGAATATAGCTGTGAAGCAGCATTTGCCATGGTAATTTGATCAGTAATCCATTAAAATATTTTCTTCAGCCTTCTTGCTGTCTGTTAGTAATAGTAAAGGAATTGTACTGCCTCCTAAGTTTTAGTTTTGGATCAGACACCGCCCCCCTCCGGCTCACCCCTTATCCTCAAGAGATGATGACTTTGTCACATTGTTCTGAAATGAAATTATTTAGCTGTACTCCTAGCAGTTTTTCTTCAAGACCTCAAACCTGCTTTCATTCCTAGACTGTAATGAATGGGAAAGTTATGGTGCAATGTTCCACTTCAAGTGTTGGACACCATGCTGTTCGCTGTCACCTTTCTGTGACTAGAACCGTGTTCTACATGGGGCCAGTTCCCTGAAACAAAGGAGTTTTCAAATGGGAATGCTTTGACAAGTCCCCTTTTACCATTCTCCTACAGTTCTTAGTTTCATCCATCTTCAAAACTTCCCCTCCCAAATACAGATTATTATCGTTTGATCAAAAGCCAGCTATTCAGCATCTTGAACTATTACTAGGGCAACCAATCTATAAGTCAAGCTATTTGTTTCAGTCAGCCTGTTGGGGTTCCCCCCCCCGCTCCTTTAATTAGTGTCTGTGTCATGATGGTATAATTTATTTTGTTCTCAAAGTGAAAACAAGGTTTCTAGCTCTTCGGTAGATTAATTTTTACTTTCTTACTAATTTTGTTGTTGATGTTAATTTTCATATTGTTAATCTGTAGAAGAGCTAAAAATACTTAATTGCGTTATACAAACATAAATTTCCATATGTTTTGTTTTCAGAAAACAAAGAAAAATTTTAAAAGGGCCTGCTTTTAAAGAAACGTCCATGTTTCTTTCGTTCCTCTTCCCTCTTGAAGAGGATATTCTGCTGCATATTTCTAACTGAGAGCAGGAGATTTAACTGTTAGATGGTGTTTCTTGTATAATAGAAGTATGAATTCTTTTAATTGTTCAGTTTCTCCTTTTCTTCAAGACACGCCATCCCAACGAGTACAATTTATCTTGGGTACTGAAGATGATGATGAACACATTCCCCATGATCTCTTCACTGAAATGGATGAACTTTGTTTCAGGGATGGAGAAGAATATGAATGGAAAGAAACGGCTAGGTATGCTAAAAGTAGATTGTTTCAAGGTGTATCAATAGTGATTTTATTTAAAAAAAAACCTGCAAATGAGGTCTAGGTTAGAATTTTCATGAACTATAGGAGTTATTCACTCAATTCATGCTCAGCAAATTAAAACTTTTGTTGTTCTTATCCAACCCTGGAAGAATCAGTATGGTTTCTCAAGAGACTCCCAGTCTTACTGGTGCTGTGTTGACTTTCCTAAAACTGATCATGCCAAGCATTGTGAAAGGTACAACTGTGTTTAGTTATAAATACAGGTGTTCAGTCATGGAGCACGGTATTTACAATCTCAGAAATCTCTTTGCTCTATTATTGCTGATATACTAGTGTCAATTTTTTTCACTCAAACATAAAGAAAACTGGGTATTTACACATGTTCTTCTTAAGTAGTATTTGACTGATTTTTTGCAAATTGCATGCAAGAACATTACAGGATGCCACGATTATTTTTGGCCCATATTGGTTTAGTTGCTTCCTTCTACATATGCGTTGTAATAAATTCTTCTGCATTCAGTACTTCTAATTACCTTATTGCATGCTGGCTTTTGCAGAAGTTCAATTTACATAATGCCTGTGAGTCAGAATCAAGATAAATTTATAGTTACACATATTAGTATTACCTAGCTCTTAAATGTCTGACTTAGCACCCTAGGAGACTTGAACATTGTATACGGTTTGTTTTAGACAGCTTTCTAATCCTAAAATACTGATGAAACTGAGATAGGCAAATCAAGTAACAAGGCACAGTGCCACGCTGTTAACAAGAACTCATGAATAGACAGATATTGTTCAAACCAAAAGAAAGAAAATGGGTGAAAGCTAAAACAGTTGAGTGTGGTTAAAAGGCCTGATAAAAATGTTGTGACTGTCACTCAGTTGAGTTGTCTGAGAAAATGAAAGCTGGTATGAGCTGATGAGATTTCCTGTTCCATGTCATACAGAAGCCACAGGGAAGAATGGGATTGCTTGCCAAATTGTCTGTCTTCCAGGAGAGATATAAATATGTGTATGCATTTCAGGTGGCTAAAATTTGAAGAGGATGTTGAAGATGGTGGTGATCGATGGAGCAAGCCTTATGTAGCAACTCTGTCTCTGCACAGTCTCTTTGAACTGCGAAGCTGTATTCTTAATGGGACGGTCATGTTGGACATGAGAGCAAACACTCTAGATGAGATAGCAGGTTGCCGCAAAACTTTTTTTTTTTAAATATTTTATTCCTAAATTTTAATCTATAACTTGAGACATTTTTGATGGTGTCTTTTTATGTTCTTGAAAATACTGTATTGAAGAAATAGGTGTGTGCATGCTTACTGCAGTTTTCTTCATCTGGTTGTAAAGAGCTGATCCCACAGTCCTCAGTTAGAAGGAGCTATGCTGGATGAGGAGGACCTCCTTTATTGCATGTTTTAGGCTGAGGCCCAGAATTTGCCTTTATGTTCTAATCCCTGAATGTGTTCTTTGTTTCTACAGATGAAATGTAAATATCTGCCAGAACATTTTAGGACTTATTTGTGCACTTTAGTAACATAATTATTAATCATAACTTGGCTGATGTTAACTTGTTGCCATTAGTGCAGTTGATTGTTGCACATCTGGTATTTTTTTTCACCTTTATAAGAGGTGAGCAGAAATAAATTTTGTACGTGTTGTTTGACCTACTATGTTGAGCGTCCTCACTAATCACATGGTCATTTCGGATACTATAAAATCAGCTTTGAAGACTTCTGTATGTGTGTGTGTGTGTATATACCCCCACCCCCACACACCTGCTTAGCCTTGAATGCCTTTGAACGAGTTTTACATATTTTTCCTGGTATCTCTTGCTACAGGTACCACACAGTGGAATGCCTTCTCAGGAATCATGCTAGGCTTAGGGCTGACCAACATGTATGTGCAGGACAAGCTGTTTTGGCATTAAAAGCTTTGGCAGTGCTTGAAACATTTTCTTGTTTTGTTTTGAAATCTTCAAAATTCACTTAGGAAATTGGTATTCCCTTCCTATGTTCCTGACTTACTGAGTAAGAGTATTCAATACATGGTTTGTAAAAGTAACGTTTTGGTTTTTAATTTATTTTTAATAATTGAATTTAGCAATAATTTTAATACATAAGAAAAATAGTTATTGCTTAATTCTGTGTAAACAGCAGTGTTTTAATAGCAGGCATTTTAGTTGGAACTAGGATGTCTTAAGAGGTTGAATTTGTTTCAAGTTAATTTTAGGTGCCATTATGAAGCATGTAGGATAACAATCCTTGGCGTACAAATGTGTTGTCTCGTTTCCCTGAGCCAGGAATACCTAGTAGGTATTCTTGGTTCTTACAAAAAACAGGAGAGAGGGGGTGGCCGGTTTCCTTTTGAGAAGCTATAACAAAAGGTGGTGTGTTGCCAGTAATCCCAGAAGGAAGCTGCACTGTACTGACAGAGACTTTGCTGCATGTAATTTTGTTTGTAAGGTATTCTGAGCCATAACCTTTTTCATTGTGAAAGGTTCTATGTAATTGCAGTTTACCAATACAGTTAGGTTCTCGATACATTGGTTAAGACTGGCAAAATATATTTTAAAAGTTGTCACATAGGTTCATGTTGAATTGTGCAGGTGTTGGGTGGTGTGGTTTTTTTGGGTTGTTTTTTTTTTTTTTTTAAATTAATGAAAAATAAAAAGGTAGCTAAGAAATCTCAGCAGATATTTTCTCAGACATGCAGGCTTTCTTTCCTGGTGTGATCATACTGATGAGATGCCCTTTCGAAACTTGGTGGTGTTTGACAGCTGCTTAGTTAGTTTTAGATGATATAACTAGCTTTTGTTTTACACTTCCTCTTGTAAAGCATGTGAATCGCTTGAAGTTCGGTAGAGAGACTCGGGAACTTAGGGCATCTGAAAGAGTTAGGGAATTCATCTCATTCTGTAATAACTTTCACTTTTGTATAGTTGAATACTTTCAAAATAGGGAACACCAGGTTAAGACTGTCTTCAGAAATCTGTTATCCATTGTGTTTCTGTCTTTGTGTGTTCACTTCTAGTGGAGGGTTGTTGAATACATAGATGCTTTTTTTTTGAAAGGGAGTAGCCGTTGAAAGTTGAAGTAAATGACAATAAATTATAAAATATTAAGTAACGTATTTCTTAAAATGATGCTACTAATAGATACTGTCTCTTGGATCTGCCTGTTGTGCTTTCCTTATTCTCACATTTGCTGATTTAGTGACATCTTTGAAAATTTCCTGTGGATTCTTGAAGATGACTTTGCTAAAGAAAAGACTTTTCTTTTTTTAAAATAGATTTAATTTTTCTTATTATTTGGTGCAACTACAGTGTTTGAGTGTGGTGAAGGAGAGATTTGATAGCTATATATATATATGTATAATTTTTTTTGTTGTTGTTATGTAGATATGGTTTTGGACAACATGATTGCCTCTGGCCAGCTCGATGAATCCATAAGAGAGAATGTGAGAGAGGCTCTTCTAAAAAGGCACCATCATCAGAATGAGAAAAAATTCAGCAATCGGATTCCCTTGGTTCGGTCTTTTGCAGATATAGGCAAGAAACATTCTGACCCTCACTTGCTTGAACGAAATGGTGAGATAAGTTGTAGCATCCAGTTTGTTCTAACCTCTTAAATAATGTTCTCACTGGGAGATGAAGGAAAACTCAGCTGAAAATAGCAGATAAGTGTTTCCTTCTTGATAAGCAAAGAACTAATGATAACAATGTGTGCTATGTGTAGCTGTGGATGATGTTTCTTATTTTTTTGAACTTACACAAACATTCTACCTCCTGCCTGTATACATAGCATGCATTATTGTTTTGAAGTATAGAAATAGACCCACATTGATCCTAATGTTTTTTAGGATATGCTTGAATAAAATGTGTAATGTTTGAGGAATTTCAGCATTGTGGCATAGCTTTATATGTTTGTCAGATGGATCCTACTTGCTTATTCAGTCTTTATACTAGAGATTTACTTTGTGGTCATGTCATGAGTTCAGCGATGCTGACAATTACTGTGTTTTAATCCAGTGTTGTTATGTTAATATGACTAGAAAAAGTTCACTCTCCTAATGGTGAAGAAATTACTTTTAGGTAGGAGCATGTTTATTACTGTTTATTTTTACCTTGTTTTGTAGAGAAGGATCTAACGGGAAAAAAAACAAACAAACACAAACTCAAGAAAGGTGTTTGGAATATTTTTATAGGCTGCACTACATCTTTTATTGAACCAGTTGCTGAAAATATTCTGGAATATCAATACATTTACTCTAGACATCCAGTTCCAAAGTCCAAATAGCAATATATACTGCAGAGCAGCGTATTTTTATTCTTTTATTTCTTATGGCCTCTATTTCAGTCTCTGTTCTTTATGCTTTCTTTTGCCTTGCATTAACTAAGACACACATAATTTCAACTGAAATGTTTTACTTTAGTGAAAACTTAGTACTCATTTCATGAATCACTCCTTGAAGTGAAGTTTCTTTCCTGTCTTGAAAGATGCCTCATTGCTTAGAACATGTTCCACTTAGTTAAGTGCTTGTTGGGAGCTCTGAGTTCGATACATACTTGGAGTATGCTCCAGCAAATGTCCAAGCTTGCTGATACTTTTTGTTAGCTAGTGAATATATGCTGCTTGCTCAAATATTTCCCTGATAGTTTCAGAATTATTTTCTCTAGAATGAAAATACAAATAATTTATATAAGAGCATAATTCCTTCTATCACTTCTGACTTTCCTGTTTTGTTTAGCAAACATGAAGATTTCACATGTAAACTTGGTTTTGCCCATTCTTTAACACCTGTATCCCCAGTTGTAATTCTGAGAATTTTGTATTTGAGGTCTCTTGCTTGTCAGTTGCTTTTCATGTATCACTTCCACTTTCCAGTGCATTTTATTCTTAATACTATTCCTACAACAGAATATGGAATATATGCTGAAATAAGAAACTGGTATAACATGATGAACTCTTTGCCAGCATATACTGATTTACTTTTTCTTTATAATCCTATGGTTACCCTCTAATAAACCGGTAAACCAAACTTGCATATGTGCATAATACTTTTTAGGCTCCTTTTTACACCTGTGTGTGTTAGGATATCTCATGTTTGTGATTCATCACATATATACCAACAGAAGTCTAGTTATTACTGTAGTGATTAATACAGACAAAATCAGCCAGTTTGCTTTATTGGTCCTCTTGTCTTTACTGCACTGCAGTTTTAATAGTTGGTCTTTGAGGCTTTCGTTCTTAGTTTAAATCAAGTTTGTATCTGTAGGATCCACTTTACCATTGGTGGGGGGGGTGGGGGGGGAAGAATGTGACCTTTACCTAGGCATACTTTTTGCGCTTCCTTCTTGTAAATTGTTCTGTCGTTGTTCAACTTATTGGTCTCTGTAGTGCCTAGTATAAACATGAGACTAAACATGTCTAGTTTGCTGTTTCCTTGCTTGATGGCAAGGTATGTGAAAACAGCACGTTTTTGACTTTGGGGATTGTAGGAGAAGTAAGCAGTATTCTTCTCAAGGAGACTGCCATCCCAGGAAAAGTGTTTGTGGTAAACAGGAGGAATGGTATCGCTAAACCTTCTAATGGAAGTGCTGATATGAGGATAGACAGTCTCTCTTCCTGCTTAAGGAAGAGCTGAAATCCACTACAAACTTAAATCTGAGGACACCATGACAAGACTATGTTCTCTTTATATGAAATTAGTGGGACATTGAAACTGGATAGGGCAAGAAAAAGAACAATGGATTTTGGAGCAACGTGTTTGGTTTTAGGCAAATGGGGATACTTGGTAAGTCACAGCAAGAAGAAATGGAGAAGGGACTATGTATCTCATCCTCGTGCCCTCTTTGAAACTATGTATTGAGGCTACAGCTGGCTAGGAAACTTCTTATTAAAACAAGACACTTACTGGAAGACAGTTGCATTTGACATGATTAGATATGTTTGAGCGTTTCATTTTGAAATATTTTAATTTTAAAAATTAACGATTCTTTGTATATAATGGATGCAGCTAACTGTGAGGCCTTGTAATGTTTTGGCTGCTAATGATTTTTTAAATGTATTTTTTGGATGGCATTAAAGGTAGCTGCCGTGCAATTTGGAATGAGAAATTCTTTTAGGAAAACTTAAGAGTTTCAAGAGATACAAAATTTTTTTTTTTTTGTTACATTAACAAATCTTACTGGCTTTAAGATAATATCTTCTCCCATATATCTTTGGAGTTCTAATTAGTACTCATGAGTAATTTCTGGCTTTTCTAATGTCTGAAATCAGATTTGCTCATATCTTGTCTTACTTGCATGAGTGTGACACTTTTGGCCCGTAAAGCTTGCAATTTACTATGTAAATTGTTAATGCATATTTGTGTCTTTTTTTTTTTTTTTTTAAGTATATCCCTTTGGTAAGCTTCATGGTGTTTCATTTGTTTTATCTCAGGGGAAGGCCTTTCAGCCTCCCGCCACTCTTTGCGAACAGGTCTCTCTGCCTCAAATATTTCCCTGAGAGGAGAAAACCGTTTGTCAGTTCTTCTCAATTACCTTCTTCCTTCTTCAAGAGCTGGAACCCCGGCAACCTCAAGGTGTACAACCCCCGTAACTACCCCTCAAAACACACCACCCTCCAGTCCTACCTGCAGCCACCCACCAACCACAAGTGGCCAGCCAAGTCCACTTCAGGGCAAGGAATTGCTGGTGTCACCTGCCAGTGATGATATTCCTTCAGTAATAATCCACCCACCCGAGGAGGACTTAGAAGTGCAGGAAAGCCAGGAAAAGAAGACAGAGGAAAATATTGGCAAAACACCAGGCAACTATCAAAATTTAAGCTGTCCATGTGTGATGCTGTCTGGGTCTGGATCACTTGCATTGCAATGTTTTTGGCACATAACTTGGGCACAAAGGAATATGATAACGGTTACCTCTGCCTGCATGTTTTATTTCTTCTCAGTTGTGACTGTTTTCTTGTTCGGCATTTTTAACTTTTTAGCTTTCAACTAAAGCCAGCACAAAAATTCTTTACTTAACCTTCATTTGTGTAATTAAAAAGGAATATGGTATTTTAAAATATAATATATAAGCAAAATGTCAAAAATGGTGGCCTTTTCCTTTCACTCACCTACAGTCCACGTCAGGTTTTGCTTTGTTGTTTTTGTCAGTGGTTGAAGTAATGCTTTAAACGAGTGTTTGATATCCTGAGATAGCTACAGCCAAAGACATAGGGAAGTATTGGAGATGAGTATAAAAAGAATTACGAAGGATGCAATAATCAGGAGTGTTTGTAGTTTAGTTGTATCACGAAGTCTTTAAGCAGTTTTATTTTTGCTTTTGTGCTTTTAAAGACCAGAGCCATTAAAGCCAGTAGTAGTTTATGATGGAACTGGCAGGTTCAGTTCACCTATAACTGTTTCCAGATAGCTATTCATTAGTGCACTGCTTCAGCATCGGACACTTGATTACTGTTTTATTGTTTTTGCTATGCAAAATAGGATAAGGTAGTTAAGAGTTTATAATTGTAGGTCAGAGCTCAGCAATTTATTAATAAATTGTCTTGCAAAGCTATTGTTCTTTACATGTAACAAGTTATGTAGATGTATAGATAAGTTGAAAGGATGGAAAGTTCTGGCGGTGTCTTTAATTGTTTTTAGTAAATGTTTCATAACTTGTGCATTCTGCATACATACTGTTATACTTGCTTTACTTTTGCAAAATTATCACCTGCTTAGAGACTTTTGGATTCTCCCAGATAGATCATGTTTTTTAAGGGGATCACCTCTCTCTTTAGCCTTCAGGGTCCTCCTGCCTCCCCCCCCCGAAATTTATCTTGCCAAAATCTAGCTTGTAGGTTTGTTTGCTTTATGCCTATGTGTATTGGGGGGGGAAAGCTGATTTCACTCAGTTCTTTCATCAGTCAGGCTTTTCTTGGTTTCCTTCCTCGCTTGTTTAATAAGAATACACTGCTACACATAGCAGTGAAAATACGCTGACAGAGAAAAGGCTGTGGTTATCTGCCTTTTCACATTTTGCAGCCAAGTCACTGAAAAGGAAAGAGCAAACTATGCTGTAGGCCGTCATTTTGAGTTGGAGTAGGGGCCCCATCCTTGCTCAAATTCAGAAAAGTGAACAAAAAACTTTCTCTGACTTCCTTATGGGAAATGAAGAGAATTCACATGAAGATCATTGTCTCTCATGGGTGATCTTTCAAAGGTAATTAAAAACCAGAAGTAAAGTAACAGATGTAATTGCTTTTCCAGTTCTCATTTTTCTACTCATCTGACAGGAATGACAGCATGCCAGACCCACAGCCTTTAGAACCCAAGAGAAGGCAAATAAATGAAGATCAAGTACTTGATGCTATTATTATCACTATTAAAGCTTTCCACCAGAATCTCCAAGTCATGTTGAAATTGCGTTTGTGCCTCAAGGGGATGTTTCTCATAAAGGAAAAATCTGAAAGGGATGCTTTCCCAGTTAATCCATAAATAAAAGGCTTTCCAGAGAAAGATGAACACCAATAATGATGAAAGACATTTTTGTTTTCTGGGTTTTTCCCCCCTTTTTAATTCAGGAAATCATCTGACCACAGAAAGACACATTTTCCTTAGAGATGCCTTTGAAGACATTCTCAGACTATGACTTCAGGGCTGCAACTGGACTAATCTCTGGGAGACAGACTCAGAAGGGAACCCTGAAAAGGAAGTTATCTTCCTTGTATTAATTAAAATAAATAAAAAAATCTTCCTCGTCCATTCCACTATAGATTATGGTCTGTATTACCTCTCTAGTAATTCAGAATATTGCAGCCTGAATACTTTTTCCACGTCTTTATGATTGAGTTGAGTTTGCCTCCTGTGAGAATTAGGAGACGTTTTAATTTTCTAATAGATGGCTTTCTTCTGTTTAGCATTCATCTATCCTTGGCCTTCTGCTATTCAGATTTTATTTTTTAGTCTTTATAAATAGCTGGAAAGTTACTGAACTTAATGTGAATTTCTGTAAAAGGAGGGAAGAGGGGCACACTTTCAGTCTACCACTTGATTTTTATCAGCCAGTCATCAGTTCATAGTAAGTCAACCAGGCAAAGGGTTCTCTTTAACAATTTTTTTTTCTTTTGTCATCAGTTCAAGAACAGCTTTTGTTTTCCCATCTTTGAAACTGTTGAATAGTGAATTCCATAGGTAGAGCTAGGAAGAGAGCTGTGTCATAGCTAAAGATGAACGCTGTTAGTTCACCAGCATCATTAAGCTCTGTTAATGTCTGTGAACAACAGCAAAGCAGCCTGTTTTAAGGGGTCTTTTAGTTCACTGATAAATGTACTTTGAAACTGAGTAAAATAATACTTAGAACAGCTTTGCTTTTACAATAATTGCTTCTGAAAATAATAATTCAGAAAGGTTTACATATTTGCCTTCTAGGATTTGCCTTCTAATACTTTTTTTCACGTTAAGGCTGCATTGGAATTTATTTTTAAAAATTGATTTTTATTTCCTCAAACACAAATGTGGTGTGAGTTTGTATTTAAAGTTTTGTATTTCATAAATTTTGCCTGTATAAACATAAGCATGACTGTTCCAATATAATTAGGTGTTGAACTCCTCTTATTTACCCCAACTTTTTTTTTTTTAACTGAAGTGGAGATGTGAGGCAAATGGCTGTATTCTTGCTTTCTTTTTTCAGTAGATAATGTCCATTAGATTTTTGTGATCACAGTATTCAACTAAGTGTAGTTGGCTAGAAAATGCACATGATCTTTACTGAAGGAGTAGTTCTAAGTACTTTAACTTGAGTGCTCTTATGAGGTTTTAATCCAAACTTACTCAAGACTCAATCCAGTTGTCTTTTGAAGGAGGCAGGTGGTATATCTGCGTAACAACATCAAGAAGAGTACTGTATATTTTTAATGGTCCCCTCAGTAGCTTGGGTAAGACTAGATGAATTCCCTGTCTCACAGTCTGGAAAAACTAGGTAGTCTTTCTTTTAGCAGTAGCCTCCGAGTTTCTATCTACTGAAGCAGAGAAGAGAAGGAAATAAGTTCTTTGATTAGTGTGAGATTTGCATAGAAGTGTTCCACTATTAGAGATGATAATTTTTTTTATTCTGAGTTTCCCTGCAAATATCAGATTGATTGATGTGCATAATGAAATGCAGTATCGTACGGAAACGCTTGATCAGGTCTGAAAACCTGTAAGCACTATTTTCATGTGAGCAGAGCAGTCTGTCCAACTGCAAGACCAACAGAAAACTATTTACACATGGTTTAGTATTAGACAACTGTTCCTGTATCAGTGCCAAAACTTGTGGACCTTAACTGCGACTGGTTGGAGAAATTTTGAAGGCAAACCTTTTAGAAGAATCAGTATCCTTTCAGTATTGAAATAATAAATTAGTTTATGCTAATATGTAGAATCCTTATTCTCCATCTTCCTCCTTGATTGTCTCTCCGCTTTTTGTTCTAGTCTCTGCTTGCTTTTGCTCACACGGCAAAAAGTGCAAAATGATGCATTATTGCTCATCTTTCATCAGTCATACACATCTTTGGTTACCTTTATTGTT